TCATGGTTTTCTTTCCTTTTTTTTTTTTTTTTAAAATCACTCTGCAATAATACCTCACTGGTGACCTTCGACTATGTAGCTCAGGAAGAAAACTTGTACTATTGATGGGTCATCTATTGACAGTTAACCTGGTTCTTCGGATTTTAAAAACATGGGTTTTCACCAAAAGGTATTAACCACAAGCTTCTGTTTTGAAGGAAGAGCAATTCTCTGTGTTCCAAGTGTTGTTTGGGACAAAAAGTTGCATTGTAGTAGCCACAAAATAGACATACACTTATAAACTCAGTAGCATGGTGATAAATACTGTATAAACACACAGAGAGATGACTATGTAACAGAATGCTTTGTCTGTAAAGATGGACATCTTAATCTAATAGTGCTAGACAAACATAATGTTCCCGCTTTTGAAAGGATGGCTTCACTGATGGTATTCTTGTCTGCAGATTTATATACCTTTTGGTATGCTTGCTGTGGGATCTGGACCTGAAATAAATGGAAAATATTAAATCAGTTTTTCTTACAGAATCTTATTATCAAATAAAGTACAATTTAGTAATAATAAACCAAACTAGTTGACCTGTTATTGTATTTCTTATTTTACTAGCAATTATTTAAAGGCCTTTTATTTGATGTTAACATCTTTGTAACATATTTACCAGGAAACACATCCCTCTGACAACTGTTTTGTGTTGTGGTGGGATTTTTTTATTTATTTTTGAGCCCACCATGCTGCAAACCCGAAATAATATCTAATCTGCTTTTTTATTCCCACCCCTCCCACAGAAAAAGCTTACAGTTCAAGTCAGTACTCCCTTATTTCTTGTCAGGCACGTATTATCAGACTGCAACAGATTTCAAAGTTTACATTGTTAACCTCTGAAGCTGACATGTCAGGAGAACTGCAGTTCAGATTCCATTCCACTCTAGCCCCACAAAGCCTGGAAGCAACTACTTCATAGAAGAACAGGGAATTACTTTCCAGAGTCATACATTCAACTACTTCCAATAAGGAAAATTTCTAACATCTGTAAAGTAAATATCTAACATCTAACATGTTAGAAACTCACTTATAGAATCATAGAATCATAGAATCATTGAGGTTGGAAAAGACCTCTAAGATCATCGAGTCCAACCGTCAACCCAACACCACCATGCCCACTAAACCATATCCCTAAGTGCCTCATCTACACGTCTTTTAAATACCTCCAGGGATGGGGACTCCACCACTTCCC